TTAATTTGAACATCAATGTAAGCAGTAAAATATGTTTCACGTATTTCACAGAATAAACAAATTCATTCGATCACCTGACATGAAACACTGATTTGAAAGATGAAACCTTTATCCTAACACTCTTACAGACGAAAATTTCATCAACTGCTTACTGCCCTTCCTGTGCTCTATATTAGGTAGGCCGCACACCGGCTTGCGTCAAGGCACGATGTCTGCGACATGACGTAAAGAAAGGAGCGGAGTTGAAACGATTAAGATTATGAAAACCGCCGCACACCGGTCTGAGTCGTGATGCAGACGTCAGTTCCATGCTAACGAATCACGAATAAAGCAAGACTGCGTCTTTTGTCTCATGTCTTGATGGTTGTCTTGACGCAGTTTGTGTGCGGCCGCCCTTATAAAAGCTCTTAGTTCTACTGTGAACGGTATACAGAGTCAAACGAGATGGTAATATCAGCATAAACAGCCAGTAAGTAATGCTTCGGAAAGGGATAATCATATTTCGGTGTACTTTCTCGGCACTTTTCTGAAGACAGTGAGGAAAATCATGAAAATCTCCGTTAAGGGGGGTTTACACTGAGGCAACCACTGGCAACCTTGCCGCACGCGGCGCGATCGCATGCTGCAAGTTCCTCACTTGCAGGTAGTGGGTAGCGCAATCGCATGCGGCTTGCGTCCCGCGTCCTCTAGTTGCTCCAGGCCGCAAGGTTATCCATCGCTAGTGGGTTCAGTTGCCTACTCGCATGCGGCGTGATGAGTTGGGACACGGATTAAGCCAATTGTCTTATCGAATAATACCGCGAAAGGAGCATTTGCGGGGTCCCAATTATAAAGATAATCGGAAGAAGTTGAAGCTATGGGAGGAATTAGCCACGAAGTTTGAATTTTCGGTGAAGGAAGCGAAAGAAAAGGTTAAACATCTCAGAACGGCCTTCCACAGGTATAGAAAGAAGAAGAGCGGATCTCTGGCGTTTTCTTCTCCTGCTCAAAATGAGACAAGCCGTAGAAGCAACTGTCTGCAGTGACATCTCTACATAAGTTGACGTAAGAATTGAAGCAACCACTCGCTCTGGGTGTAAATGGGGTCGGTTGCATGCGGTAACGGTTGCTCCTGGCCGCATGCTGCTTGATAAATTTGACGGCAAACACAGTAGCGCGAGGAGGGCTATAGGTTACTTTAAGTTGCCCCAGTGTAAACCCGCCTTTACGTTAAGTGGGATTTAGTCCCAACTTGCCTCTTCGGAACCTTGTGTGAGCTCTAACAGCTGTTTCGCTGACGTAATCTTCAGATGAGTCCTGAGTTAAACAGTGCAAATTGCTATGCCTCTCTCGGTATATTACACCTGTACACTGGTTGCCCGCGGCGCGTTGTTACGGTACGGCAAGCAGACGCTGCAACATGAACTGTTACACGCAGATTTACTGCTACACTTCACCAGACCTTCACGTCTGATCAACCCCATGCGCTCCGCTCTTTCCAAATAGACTACAGACACGTGCTCACCTTCTACGGGGAAAATGGAACATAATATTTCGTCTTAACTTATAGGAGGTAAAGGAAAGTTGTCAATGTGTTTAATAAACACCACAATTTGAAGTTGGCCTGTGTTGTAAAGAACCTATATGTACACGAACTGAGGCTCGGTTCTAGATGGGGGAGAGCGGTCGTTTTCACGCTCCGTTCACTTTGCTCTCGAAAAAATTCACGCGGTACTCTCTGGGTTGGAGGCTGGAGCGGGCTTCAGACCCTGTTTGAAACTGGTGATGAAGAGAAAAATGACTGTTGTTAATGATAATCCAACCCCGGTAGTGAAGCTGCAGTTAGATGTTACCCTGATTTAGTTATCCCAAAGAATCAGTTTTATGTAAACAAAAACTTAATTAAATAACCAGTTTCCGGACTCTGTTTTTTTTTCAGAGAAAATATTAATGTACGCTATCTTCATGCATGTACAATAACATAAAGGATGTTTAAGGACAGTCATCAAATCTTTAATCGTGTGAATATTTTGAGGCAATGTATGCTAGTATTACGTGAGAGAAACACGATTAAAAAAAAAAAAAGTATTGACATTTCTTTGCTTTAGATGATTACACTCGCGAAAAGCCGATAAACCCCTCCCCCCAACCCCGTTGTGTTATTTCTCACTGCAACTTAATATATTACCCTGGGTTCGACTCAGTCTCTAACAGAAATGAGTACCAGGAATTAATTAAATAATTTTCCTGTGGAGTAAAGCGCGGCCGGCGCGTAAGGCTGACAACCTTACCGCCATCTTTGAGCCTATTGTTTAGATAATGTGGGAGCCTCACCGCCTCACAACCCCGTGGGCCTTCACGGCCTGGTACAGGGATAATTTTTTTGTTACTTTTACTTTTTATCCCACATCTTGTATATGGACAAAGAATATTTTACAACTCAGTGTTGACACACCTTAAAAATTTAAAGTAATAAAGGCAATATATGGATCATACTGAGTTCTTTACTCTAGTCTGACTGTTGTCTCAAAATAATTCAATGAAATATTCAAATATTATTTTGATAATTTTTATCACTACTCACTACACTGCTGCATTTCCGAATTTATGTCGAGTATTACAGCGACACAAATTTCTACTAAGAGTGTCCTGTGATCGTGGATTTTATAATTTGTTATACCAAAGTAATAAACGAGCGCCTATCACATTTCTATTCATTTTAAAAATAATTAGACTCTTTTACATATAATTAATCTACCGTTAATTTTGTATCCTGTTAATAATCTGTACAATTATTTCTTTACTTTCTTAAGACATTATTTTATACGTAAATATAGGAATGTTGTTTATGAAGTAACAGACGCCTTGCAGAAATCTTTTTCCTTCTAGCTTTAAGAGCTCTGTAACTGATTTGGGTATTTTTCTTTTCGCTGTTCTCAGGCAGAATATCTTACATAACGCTGGTGCCTCTCTACCAGACTACACAGCGTCACGTCTCAGAAGACCATAATCTTAATATTCATCGCCGTGAGCAACTTAAAATTTTATGTTCTGCCTAATTTTTTCATGATTTTCTTAAATAGTTTCAGGGAAACGCTGGGTTATGAAATTTAATTAGTCCACGAACGCCTCCTTCTAGATTCCTGTCCATCATAATTAGTTACCTTACAATCTTATTCAACACTGTATGATTATTTTGTTGAAACGGCAAGTTTAGTTAAAACAAAACCAAACCTATTTTTATTTATCATATGTAGTAGGAATAGAGGCCAACTTTAGCGGATAGAGGGTGTTCTCGTTGTCAGCGCAACGAATCCCCACGGCCGTTAATTTCAGTTTTCTAGACCGGAGCTGCTGTTTCCTTCAAATAGCTCCTCAATTATCATCACGAGGCTCAGTGGATTCCGTTCCAGACCCACTACTTCTCAGAAAATCTGGTAGCGCTGTGAATCGAACCCGGACCTCTGGATCTATAGCCAGGAACGCTGACCACTAGACCACAGAGTTGGCACTAAACTTCGCCGAGAAGCGGCGGTGGCTCGGTGGGTATAGTTTGCTTGCAGACTAAAATCACGGAGTAGGAACAGAGGCGGGTTGTAGGTAGGACGACCTGGGTTCGATTCCTGGGAAGGGCAGGGACTTTCCTTCCCCATAATATCCAGATCCGCCCTGAGGCCCACCCTGCCCCTTATCCAATGAGTACCGAGGGCTCTTGCCCTCAGGGAGTAAAGTGGCCGAGACGTGAAACTGACGACTCACCTTTATTTAATACTGAGTTAAAGAATGGTGGAGCTAAACTTCCACTCCCTCATACGTCTTCATGCCGTGTTGTTTAATTAATTAAGAACAGAATCACCTTATCTTTTACAGTTATATAAATTGAGCAGTTGTTAAATATCACGTAAATTAAGGAATAAACATTATTTTTGTTACGAAATTTTTCCATACTTTTATGTAAAATCTAGTCACATAACAACTACAAGTATTGCATAAATGAAACAAAATACTGAATCTTCGTCGGTATATTAGTGTGGCGTGTAGTGATTTCCCTGTGTTAATTGAATTCTGTGATAATTCTGTCAGGCGAGGATGTGTTCAGCTTCTAGATGGGCGTACGCGGTTGCCGAATTCAGGCTGTTGTGGCTCGCAGGGCTGAGTGCTGATCAGTGTTTCACGAGACATATCTCGTTCCGGTCTTTGGGCTCAACCATGTGGCAACAGGAGGCGCGCGAACCGCGTATGGTTCACCAAACCACAGGCTTATTTCTGTTACATATTGCGTATTTAATCACACTTTCTCAGCTAAATGATATACAGTAACGATCAAAGTAGAGTTAACTATTCCACATGTTTCTTTATTTACTGCCTTATTTAACGACACTACACGTTGCTATATATATCGTTTTACTTATGGTGCAGAATTAAGTTACTAGTTGCTTACGTGCTCCGAAGTTTCACACATTTACAATATAAAATTTTTATTCAGGATGTTCATAAATGCCCTGCTGTTGTATATTATGTCACTAGATTCCATTTCGTACACCTACACCTTATTACTCAGAGATACATTTTAATATTATAGTCCCATCTGCGCTTAAGTTCTTTAGGTACATGGTTTTATGCAAGGGGGGGATGTCAGGCGTCTGCCCTTGTGAGATCTGTTGTTCACACCTCAGTGACTATGAAGTGTACTGTCTTCTGAGATAGGACGCAGGGTAGTCTGAAAGAAGTTCATAGACGTTTCAGAGGAATGTCCTGTCCTCTGTCTTCCACTCCTCTACCCTTATGTAAGCAATACTTTTCTGTGAAAAAATAGACAATAATTGTAACGAAGCTACACGACACCACAACAGAGAAGAGCTGATATCCGAGAATAAATCGCAGTCATTGGTTACGGCTTTTCTTTGCGCTTGTTTTCTTTATATAAAATAATCCTGTAAACTGATAAATAATCTTAAAAGTCATCCTCCAGACGAGTCCACTACAGTTCATGCCGTATCTCATGCCAGGCTGAAGGTCATCTTGACTTTCTTAGGGATCATGTAAATAAGGAACGCCTGTTTCGGTCTGTCTCTTGTGCTGTGAGGAAGCTTTCATTTCGGTAGGCAAGGGGACTCTGTTGTGTAACTGTAAGTACCGACAGTGTGTTCTGACTGTAGGCCTACGCATTTCAATATAACTTTACAGAAAGTGCAAGGCCTAGCAAGCTCGCCTAACGGCAGGGCTCCTGATTTAGAATCAGGAGATACCTGGTTCGAATCTCTAATATCCTCCCCCGGTACACCGACTATACTGAACTTCGTGTTTTTCCCCAGTCCTTTTAGGCAAGGTATTACTGTAAATTAGACACAAGTAAAAAGTAAAAGTAAAGTAAAGGTACCCCTGTAACAGGCCGTGGAGGCCCATAGGGTTGTGAGACGTTGGGGTTCCCATATTTTCTAGACAATCGGCTCATAGATGGCGGTAAGGTTGTCAGCCTTACACTCCTGCCGCCCTTTACCTTCAACAATATTCCTGGTACTCATTTCTGTTATAGGCTGAGTCGATCCCAGGGCCAGAGTGCGGCTGGAAGGATTAGGTAAATTGAAAAATCTACCTCATCGAAAATGGATCCGGCGACCATGCTACACGTTAAGTAGCCAGAGCAAGTAGTGTTGAATAGAGGGATGATAGGTGAATTATGATTTGGAAGGGATTTCGAAGGAAGAGGTGGTTGTACTATCCTGACAACTGCATAAAAAGGGACTGAGAAAATCCACGAAAATTCCTAGTGTCGTCGTTACTTAAACCATTCATTTTTAAATATGCAACCATTAATCAAGCGTAGGCTGAACGCTGTACTTGGGGTAACAGACACTGGAAATGTTACGTTATACTGACCTAATATTTTCCGTAAGTATTTATTCATTTATTTATTTGTGGCTTCTTTGACCGCCTTTGTGGTGTAGTGGTCAGAGTTCCTGCCTACAGATCCACAGGTCAGGTTTCGATTCCCAGCACTACCGGATTTTCTGAGAAGTAGTGGTTCTGGAACGAGGTCCACTCAGCCTCGTGAGGATAATTGAAAAGCTGTTTCAAGGAAATAGCGGCTCCGGTCTAGAACACCGAAATTAACGGCCGTGGGGATGTTGCGCTGACCATGTGATACCCTCTATCCGCTAAAGTTGGGATTAACTTCGCCGACAAGCGGCGGTTGCTCGGTCGGTATAGTTCGGTTGCGGATTAAAACCACGGAGTTATTTGTGGTTTCTTTAGACCTAACCTCGCTTCCAGCTGGCCAGCGGAGCGAGGCAGAATGATTAGTGAGTAAAAGATGTGAAACGTATTTAGTCGTGATCTAATTTGCTACGCTACTTTCTCGATGTTCTCCTGAAGCAACTGAGGAAAACCACTACAAACCTCAGTCAGGATAGCCGGTTTCCTATGTGAGACTTGAACCCGGCGCCCCCAAATATAAAGCAGGACTGCCAATTACTCGAACGCGACGTCAGATTCCGTAGTTGTTATTTTTTTCTTTTATTCAATTGCTCTGAAGCACATTTGTGTTTCATTACTTATTTATTTACACTTTTTCAGTGTTTCGAGGAGAATGTTTTGAGGCATTTTCCAAACTGTTCTTCAACAAATTATATCTTGAAAGAATGTAGACTTACAATTCTGCGTATAACTTAACAGCAAACTGACTATGCATTTACGCACTGAAACATTGTTAACCATATTGAAGTTCGTTTGCACTTTGCTATGAAGCTGTGTTTGTTAATAAGACTAGTTGCATAAAAGGGTAAAGATAGAGTTGTCCCTGTGCTTAACTAATTAAACACTTCACCATGAAGGTGTATGGGGGGGTGGATGTATAGATCCATATTTTCTTGACCTCGGCACTAGCTGGAGGTGAGTGATCAGCTTCACGCCCCGACCGCTTTACCCCCGGGGAAAGAGCCCCCGGTGTCCATTGGATAGGAGACTGGGTGAACCCCAGAGCAGATCTGGACGAATGGAGAAGTGTAAATTCTTGGTCCTACCGGGACTCCAACTCAGACCCCTCGGTCTCAGCCTCTACCACCTGTTACAGAAATTGCTTTATATTTATTTGCAGAGAATGGAGGGGCCATGTGCTGCTTCCAGCCACTGGACGTCCCCGGCCAGCTGTGTGGGTCCTGGTGTATGTGGCGCAGGCGCAGCATTCTTCACCAGCCTCATCACAACACTCCTCGAGTCGGAACGCCAACTAGGAAACCCGGAGCAATATCCTAGGGACACCAGCTCTTGCCTGAGGGACGAGTATGATTTTATTGTTGTTGGGGCGGGTACTGCAGGATCCGTGGTGGCGAGTAGACTCAGCGAGGTGCCGAACTGGAACGTTCTTGTCATAGAGGCAGGCAGTGACCCACCTCTGGCATCAGACATTCCCGCCATATTTCTCGGTCTTCAAAAATCTGACATCGACTGGCAATTCAAGACGGAACCCCAGAAAGATAATTGCCAAGGATTGCTGGGTAAACGATGTAATTGGCCCAGGGGAAAAGTTCTGGGCGGATCTAGTACAATAAACAGTATGTTGTACTTCCGGGGAATGAAAGGTGATTTTGATGATTGGGCTACAGCCGGAAATGATGGGTGGAGTTACGAAGAAGTTCTGGAATACTTCAAGAAATCTGAAAATTTTGAACCGAACGCAAATGAAAATTATCCCGAATCATTTTATCACGGTATAGGAGGACCTCTCAACGTGCAGAGATTTGAAAGCCTAGATCTCGCATGGCTGCTTCAAGATGCCGTCAAAGAAGCAGGGTACGAAGTATTGGATGATATTAATGGTCCAAGCCAGTTAGGATTTGCACATCTACACGGTACAATTATAAACGGTACAAGATGCAATATTGCTAAAGCTTTCCTCGGCCCTGCCAGAAACAGGAAAAATCTTCATGTTATAAAGAATTCGAAAGTAAACAGAGTCATAATTGATCCTGTTTCAAAAGTAGCCAATATTGTTGAATTTAGCACACGTGATAACCAGATTCACCAGATTAGAATTAAGAAAGAAATCATCTTATCAGCTGGTACTATTAATTCTCCACAACTGCTCATGCTGTCTGGTGTTGGCCCAAAAGAACACCTTAAGGAATTCGGTATCAATGTCATTAAGGACACGAAAGTCGGCGAAAATCTTCAGGATCACTTGATATTTACTGGCTCGCTATATAGCATAAGAAAATCTGATAAGTTTAAATCAAGTCCATTAGCTTTCCTTGATTCATCATATGAATATCTAACTCGGAGAACCGGGCCACTTGCTACTTTTTACGGAACCACTCTATCAGGATTCATTAGGACGAATCTCTCTCCAGATGAAAGGCCAGATATCCATTTCTTTTATTTCGCTATTTTAGCAAACGACACGAAAGCATCTGTCGCATTTGGAACCGCGTTAGGTTTAACAGACGAGACAATTTTATCAATGCAAGAAATATCAAAAGAAGGTGACGTTGTCATGGCGGCTCCACTTCTTTGTCGACCAATAAGTAGAGGTAAGATACTTCTAGGTTCATCAAATCCATCAGATTATCCTAAAATATATCCAGGATACTTAACAGATACAAAGGACTTGGACACAATACTGGAAGGCATCAAGGCAACCGACAGAATAATGCAGACTGATGTGATGAAGAGTCGTAATGCAAGAAAGAAGAAGTTGATTGTGAGTTCGTGTGAAGGATTTGAGTTCGATACGACGCCATATTGGGAATGCATGCTGAGAAACATTGGAACATCGGCTTTTCATGCTGTAGGTACATGCAAAATGGGACCAAGTTCAGATCCAGATGCTGTTGTTGATCCAAAACTAAGAGTTCATGGTGTAAAAGGAATCAGAGTGGCTGATGCATCCATAATGCCTACTATTGTGAGCACACCGACATATGCAACAACTGTTATGATTGGAGAGAAGGCAGCGGACATGATAAAAATGGACTGGCTCCAGTAAGAATGAAGTCAGGTTTCGTAATATGTTTGGGAAGTAGAGGTAATGGTTCATAACAAATTTGAAAATATAAGCATGATATAAAAGTTTTGCTTTCCTGTTGCATATACACTTATTTACTTTCATCGTTAATACGGCGCATGTAATTCGAGAGGGAAACCATTAAAAAAGTAAAAGTAAAGGTATCCCTGTACCAGGCCGTGAAGGCCCATAGGGTTGTGAGGCGTTGAGGACCCCACATTATCTAGACAATCGGCTCAAAGATGGCGGTAAGGTTGTCAGCCCTACGCGCCGGCCGCCCTTTCCCCCCCCCCCCAGGAAAATTCCTGGTACTCATTTCTGTTAGAGTCTGAGCCGACCCCAGGGCCATAGTGTGGCTGGAAGGATTAGGCCAATTGAAAAAAAAATCCAATGACCTCATCTGGACTTGAACCCGCGCCCTTCCGGTTTGTAGCATAGTGTCTCTATGCATAATTCTTAACAAGCATAATACTGTCATATGAAACGTGGAACGTCACCAGATATGATCCTACATCTGATGTTCTTCCTAGAAACTTCTTGGAATTTACACGAGCAGCGACAAAAGAAGTATGAACATTTCATGTATATAGAAGAGTGACATTGTATAAAGCATGAAAATACATTTATTGTAAAGTTTATGAACTTTATCATAAATCAAAAAGGTATAATCTCTTACAAAAAGCTGTAACACGAGAGAGGGTTTGGATCTCAGATAACTTCTGACTTATTTGGGCCACATTTCTTCGGTACAGCCGTAAATAAGTAGCCCTGTTGTTTCATAAGTGGCCTAAATAGTGACATTTTTTATTTACTTGGTGATTTGTACTCTATGTGCAATTGTTTCTAAAGTAATGTAAGTGTAAAGGGGTCCGGAGCGCTGAAAAGTGTGCTTTCTCTTAATGTTGTTCATCCATGCCCGATTAATATTAAGAATATAAATATAATTTTTATTACAAAATATTTTCCTCACTACTGAAATAATTTCATAGAGTTTTAACTAGTTTCCCATTGGATGAATCTGAAATGTAATCGTATTGAAAATATACGAATATCTATAATGAACATAAAATTTTCTTACTTTAAATATGATATAGGATAAACACAGATCAAGAATTTATAAGAGTAATTCATTTAATAACTATTTTAACATCTCAGATTACATATCGTCGAGTAATAGAGTCACTTGTGAGCAATTAACTTGAATGAATCCTTAACTTGAGGTATTTTCCATGCATCTGTCTGAAGAACTCCTTGATAAACCTCAGTCAGGGTAATCAGTCTCCATAAGATGAACTGAACAATGGACCTCTCGATCGTGAAATATGAGTAGTACCCATTCGATCGCATTGTAGGACAGTCTGAATATCCGCCGAAATTACCTATTAATCTGAATGAGGTATTTCGGCGTCCAGACGAATTTCTGGATATTATTTTAAAGTACCTTACTGTCAGATCATTTAAAATCCTTGTATCTTCAAACAAACAAAAAGGAAACTCCGTGGCCTGTACTTCGAAAGAGAACTATACCGACCGAGTGACCGCCGCTTGTCGGCGAAGTTAGTGCCAACTTTAGCGGATAGAGGGTGACGCGTGATTAGCGCAACGGATCCCCAAGGCCGTTAATCTCGGTTTTCCTTTTATGTTCAGCATTCAATAATAACTTCTCATTTAGTTCGATGCTATGTAACCTCTACGTTGAAAGAGCAGTTTTAATATGCTAAGGATCACTTAATCTTAAGCTATGAGTATATGATCCTACTTTTTATACTGTTTAGTAGGATCCCACAGTTCAGAGTGTTTGCAGTTAACGAAATTAGCATAATGCTATATCTGACCAGTAACAAGATTTAAAGCACTAAATTATCTCTAAGGGTGAAGAGGACGATAATTGAACTCGGTCAAGCGCCTCTCAAACAAGAGGGAATATGTTTAGTGTTAAAGGTCAATGGAGATACTATTATCTTCCAATTAATGTTCTCACGCTCATATCTATTGTTCTATCTCGCATTTTAGAAATACTGAACACAGTCAATGTGTACAGACCAATGCATTTGAAGACATTAAATACAATTCATTCTGTGCCAATTAGGTCTCTTTATATCACGACATGGGACATCCTAAGGCGGCCCATACACGTATGAGCCTGGTTCGCAAGTCCAGCTCGGCGAGGAGCCGGGCTCGGATTAATTTCATCACACACGTATGAGCGTGGCGACCCACACACGGACGAGTTTGGCTCATTGGAATTCGAGCCGAATCATACTCTCGAGCCAGACTCATACGTGTATGGGCCGCCTAATGCTTGAAAATGATGAGCCGGTCTCTGTGTATACATGGCAGATGGGAAAATATTACTGAATAAGCAGTCAGGGACAGGCAGCGGTCTTCTTCAACAGTTCTAGAACTGGACAGCGTCTAACTTATCACCATAAGAACTAGTTACTTACTTACTTACTTGGGCCGCAAGGCCGCGCCATAGCTCAAGCGGTTAGTCAGTGGCTTCCCACCGCGGCGGCCCGGGTTCGATCCGGATACCCAAGATCGGAACGAGAGCTTTCTGAATACGACAGCCACCACAGTTCGATATTCAATTAATAATTCACTAAGCCTACGTATTAAACAATACATGTTACTTAGTTGTTAGTTATGATTTAATCCATTATATATTCTTTAGAAAACGATCGTGTGACACAGCCCTCTTTTCAAAATGACAAGGGAACGGACTGTCTATGCCTGGCATCCATGCAGTAACGGACAGAGGGAGTGACACACAGAAACAGGCTTCCAAAATTAGTCATGATAACTCCACATCTCCCCTCTAGTTTAGCTGGCTTTGCTAAGATCTAAATAGTTTCCTCCGTAATTTCAGTTTCCTCCTGAAATGAGACCCTGAAAGGGTTTATATGTTGTTTTAGGTCGGACAATATTCCTAGTCCCAGGCGTTGTTTTACGGTTACTAACGTCTTGAATATATTCGACCGTTTGAAGCAGCTCTCTCCCCACTGCTGTCCCTAGCAACCGCTATATATTTTCAAGGGTAGATAAACAAGCGAATATCTTAGTGGATAGTAATCAAAATCTCTATTTCAGTTCCTGTGTCAACAAGATGACGTAGCAGATATTGAGAGAATTGCAGTTTGCACATACCTAAACAGCCCATCACAACACTGGGATAGATTCTTACGGACACATTAACTGAGAATAGGAATTTTCTATCAATATCAATAGTCCTATTTTATTTTTTTTTGGGGGGGGGGTTGTTTCACGACGATTTGGGTGTCTGAAACCTTGTATAGCGACAAATGGTAGAATGAATGGTGAACTATAATTTACATAAGATTTAGAACAGAACTTTTGCAGCCTAATCAGGGCCTGGAGGTAATGAATAAAACCATAAAAACCCTCAGCTGGGATAACCGATGTTATGGCCAAGATTTGAACCGAAAATCTGCAGATTTACTTCTGTAGGAAATTGAGCGAAAATGGCTTAGTATAGGATCCAGTAGTAGGATTTTGTTGTGGCAGCTATAGAACTTCGATTTCCAGACGCAAGAAACCGGTCGTTCACTCAGTAATCGTAAGAGATTTTATGTGTATGCGTTAGTTCTAAACAGCCCAAAATAAATTCATGGGGTTTACATTTACAGTCATATTTTGGGGGGCGGAAATATAATTAACTAACCCTCAGGTTATGGACTTGTAACTGGCTTTTGTTTATACCGTAAGGAACTTTCAGGTTCCAAATGAGGCAGAGAATTTTCTTTACTAGCTGAGCAACAATTAGCTTTTGGAGAAGGGGTCTTCCAACCGCAGTGAGCGACTTAGTAAGTTACTGTAGGGATCAGAATTCTTCTCCTGGCAATATCTCGACCTCTTTAATGTACACCATTTACATCTACATTAGCATTCTTATGCTCATTCAATGGCATGTACGAGTAACATAAGTAGTTAATAACCGCTGTTAAATAGAGAAGAAAATAAAACAAATAAAGTAATTCCCTAAGCCGGTCACGGTAGTCGAGCGGTCTAAGGCGTGTACTGTCTTCGCTCTCTCGGAAGCCGGGATCGTGCGTTCGAATCCAACTCAGAGCATGAATATTTAGTGTTTTTGTTTGTGTGTATGTGTGCGTTTCTCTGTGTTTGTATACAGGTAGAGGCCTTGCGACGAGCTGATCACTCGCCCAAGGAGTCCTACCGTATGTGTAAGATCTAGTAAACCGAAGTGAAATGGAGAGTTTCATGGAGGGATGCCAAGACCCAAATTGGAGATGTAGCGCCAAAGGAAAAAAAAAAAGTAATTCTCTGAATAATGTAAAGTAAGAAGCATTAAAATTTACGGTTATAAATAAAAAATAATTGTAATTATAAATCATTGATTATGATTAAGGCTAAGTAGGTTATATGTCTGATTAAAATCCATTTTGTCTTGCCTTTTTATGCCTGAACAAAATTATTATCTCTGATAATGAAACATAGTGCTGAACAAAATGGCAGATGATTTTGATTCTATGTGTGGAAAAAAAAATTATCGTAATGCGTCACGAATTATTTATGCTAAGGCTTGACGTACCCTGTTTATTTTAATGGACTTGTAATCTGGGATTAATGTGGATTGTTCTCGCTCTGTAAAACCCTCTACCCGCCAGGCATAGGCAAGTGAGTGCAGTGCATTCTGGTGCCTGGCTCCAGGACTAGAATCGGCTTACTTAATGCGAATAATAAGGATTTGCATTGCAATTCGCAACCCACGTGGAAAGTAGAGAATTTTCACTGCTGTTAAATTTCTCACTTCTTGAATAACGCCCTATTTTACGCAAAGGTATAAAATAACTCTCGGAGCGAACGTGGTTTAGAGTCAGTACTCAACTCAGTGGAACAGAAACTTTTCTGGGAAGTTAATAATTATTCATCCAGTCAAGAAATTTATGGAAATCGAAGATTCATTATCATGTTCGCAACAACCAGCCACTGATCCCTATCCTGAGCCAAATAAACTCAATCCGGATCCTTTTTTTAAATACACGCTAATATTATTCTCACATTTTTGCAACCCTTCAGCTACTCCCAATAAATTTCTGCGACCATTTTTTGTTTCCCACATGAGAGCCCCATTCCATCCTTCTTGATTTGGTTATCCTAACAATATTCT